CGGGTTTGAGGCCGGTGCCGAAAGCCGAAGAAAAGGTGGAAGGCTCCCTACGTCCCCAGGGGAAAGTCAGCGACTGCCCCCTCCTCTCACGGCATTTCACTGCTAAATCAAAAGCCAACGTGTAGCAGAAGAGGATGAAAGGAGATAAGGACTTTCACAGACCGGGCGGTGAACGTGAGGGAATGGGACCTGCAAAGGATCAGCAGAGATTTTGAGAGCTGAAGGCCTCACCAGAATGAACAGAATCAGCGGGTTATAGTGTGTGAGCACAAAGTCTTTCTCCCGCTCTCTTACTCTTCCCTGTCCCCGACTTCAAGGTACAGAACCTTCTATCATGTCCCTCATCTTCATGCAGGATCTTCTTCCCTTTTTGTTGCTGGAGAACAAAATGACCTCCTCCTGCTAACTCCTGGACCTTTCTTTAGTCCATCTCTCTGAGCTATGAGGGCAGCAGAAGCTCCTGGGTATCCTGCTGTGATGGGACAACACCCATCCCAGTGGGCAGGGGCTGGGTCCCTCATTGCGAAGAAGTGGCAGAGGAGAGCTAGCTAGAAGGGCTGGAAAGGCAGTGTACTGGGGAGCCCTCCTGCCATAATAAGGGCAGTAACTGCTCTTGTACACCAACCAAAAGGAAACTGAAAACGAATAAAACCAACAGTAAGTGACTTTCAAGATCAGAAAACAGGTTTACAGTTTGTAAGAGTGCCATGGAACACGAACTACCTCACATTTTTTGGGTTCAGTGGAGGAATCTGTCTTTCTCACCTACAAAGATCAACTTGGGTGAGAAGCTGAGGCTCCAAAACCAGCTCCTACACATGATGCTATTAAAACATGTTCCTCAGTTCCATATGGATATTGAGAGTGCAAATGGGCTCGGAATAGGTTTGTCCTTCAGTAAGAGAGTAAGAGAGAAAAGAGTCTCATTTTCCCTTTGAGCCCAAGAAACAGTGAGACACAATGAGCTTTTTTCTATTTGAAGAGGTTTTATTATTACTTTCTAAGCTTTCAAATTTTTTGGAGAGTTTGTCTTTGTGTAAAATGTTAGAGGCTTTCCACAGTAGTTTTTATGGGTTGAGTGTCTAATTATTTCTCATTTCTAAGTTTCACAGATAGGAATCTCAGCTCACAGAAAGATTAAATCCACAACATGCTCTGTCTCGCACTGCAGTTCCCCAGGCTTGAGCTGGGAGCTCAACCTTGTTCTGCATGGAAATGCATGAAAAAAGGTATGTACAAAAACCAAGCAGGAGCCATCCTGTCTGCTTAGCCAGACTGCACCAGAACCTAACAAGTCCATAAGGGTGCTGTCTGCTTTCACTAAGAGCTGTCAGTTGGGAACTCTGGGAATACACATGCTCTTGCTTAGCCGATCTGCCTTTCCAAAGGAAATGACACACAATTAGTCCCCTTGTTCCCCATATCCTTGTCTGGCCAACAGCAATACTCATAGAGAACTCTTCTGGGGAGCCAACAGCTAATCTGAAGTACTCTGTGTATTCAAAATTCTGACTTTGAAGAACACACCAGTAGTGCAAGCACTAGAAAATTGAGGGTTATAGGGTGGGCCTCTTTCAGGATTTAGCATTTGTGAAAGTAGCTACTTTGATATCTGAGTCACCGCTGAGAATAGTGGTAATGAAACTCGTATTACAAGTCTTCACTGTTCCTTTATGGATGGATTATTATTATATGATCCTGAGGTACCCACTGGATTGGCTCCTGTAGATAAGAAAGGTTGATTGCTAATTTGACAATGTGGCTTGGATATTAGCAGCTCTGAAGCTCCAGTGAGGTCAGCAGGAACAACACATAGAAACAAAATACATTTTTTAAAAAGTGGCTAAAACCATTTTTTTTTTTTTTAATACTAAAGCATTTAATTTGCAGAATATCTGTCTGACTTTTTTTTTTTAGATTCCTTCATATGCATATGAAAGAGAGTTTATTTTTAGTTAAAATTCTATGTAAGCCTCTTCATTTGGGGTCAAAGCATTCTTTTCAGAATTTGAAATTCTTGGGTTTCCTACGCTTTGGTTTTCTGATCCTTTTCAGATCTGTGTTCTAAGGAAACAAAGTTCCAGGCTGGGACAACATAGTCAATAAGACAAAGACCCAGCCATCTCTGGTCATCAGGGTGACTTGGACTGTAAGGACTTGAATGAAATCTTCTGCCAAAATGCCTCTGGGAAAGATGAATTCTGCTACAGATTTCCTATCACTCTGAATGGGTATTTTATTGCCACCTGACTTTAAAACAGACATTTAGCCTCTTGCTTTATGTGAAATTGGCCAGGTGAACGGTACTTCAGAAGTGCCTAACATGCTCCATAAAGGAAAAGGCAACCCGGGTGACCAGCATGGACTGACACTATGATGCTATAAAGATAGGTGAGGTGAATCCCACCACTGTATGGTATTCCGAACAGGGAAGGCAGAATTGCTTAAAAAGAATGAAATAAATCTGGAATTCAGGCTTTATGAAACAAGTCAGTGTGTAACAGGGGCTGCTTTCTGTAATAAATACCTCCTGTTTCGTTTTGACCGCAACTCCATCTGTCTGACAATCCCTAATTATCAGGTCTGACTCTTACCCAGCTGGAACGCTTTTTTCTCAGCACTGTGGGGGGAGCACTGACTTCCATTACGGTAACAATGAACTCCCAGAGCACCTATAGAGAGGTGGACTTCAGAGATTTTATTCTTAGAGTGTCATGGATAAATCTTGAATCCATTGAAGTCAATGAAAAACTCAAACCAACTTCTGCTGGGCTAGGATTTCTCCCTGGGTCTCAAATAAACGGGAATTGGCATCCTGAAGAGATTTTTGCAGACTGTGTATCTATTTGTCAAACTCTGTTTCCCATTTAATTCTGATTTTATACTGCAGAGATATAGAAGTTCCAAGAAGCTTTCAGGCTTTCAGTCAGAATGAGGCTATTGAAAAACATGACCTTTTCTTCAAAAGCCACTACCTGCAGTGGCTGTTGACTGCCACTGTGAATACTGACCTCACAGCAAAGTACTAGACATCACTGAACAGCACAAGGTGTTGTGTTCTTTACAATCACATAGAGAATATATTTAAATTCCTATTGCCTCAGAGGGGAAATTGCCATCTCTCAAGGCATACAGCACCCCTGAAGAAAGACCTTCTACTTTTAGTAACTCCTGAGGTCATAACTGGTCACGTCTGTAGCCCCTGTAGTCTGTAGTCTGTAGAATTCACAGTAGTGTCACATTTGTCCATATTCACCATAAAAGTTAATACTTTTGCATGTGCAATGTATACTCAGACTGCTGCTTCAAACAGAGATGCCCTTTTAAGTCATTCTCTCGATTCCTAAGACCTCACATAAATCTTTTTAGATTGACAGGCAAATAAACCTAGCATTAAAAAATGACAGCCTGCAATATCAGATTAGTGAACTGGATGCTAGAAGACAGGAATTTGGTTTGCTGCAAGAAACTGCAGCCACTCAGCTAAAACAATTCTGTCAGAAATATACTTCTGTAAGAATTTTCATTGAGTCTGTTAATTAGACTTACCAACGCTCACATTACCAGGACTTTCAAGTCAGTAACAACCCTCCACTAAGTATGGATCCGTAGTGTGAATAAATGCAAAATCTGGGCCTTCTTTTGAAACAATCAGAGTTTAGTGCATAAAGAGGCCATTAGGGCCATTATGCCGAAGCTGCATTAAAAGCACAACCTTGCTTCTGAAGCTCCTGTAGCAAATAATGGCTGTACCAGTCTTATGTCCTCCAGGAGCAGTTGGCCTCTGTTAGAAAGTGCTGACTTACAGAAAAAAAAAAGCTGCAACAAAAAACAAGACCCTTTTCTATTTATTTAGCATTTTCTGGTTTTGTAACGCTGTCTTTGTCAGTTTGGCAGCATGAGGATGTGCATTGTTTCCTTCTCAAAACCGGGAAAACTGATGCAAAAATTATGTTTTGGCTCCTGATTCACATTCAGATCAACATCAAAACAAAAGTTCAGGACTTGTTGACTTTTTTTTTTTTTTTTTCCCAAACCTTAATTCTTTCTGGATCTTTAAAATCAGATACGATTCAAAAATGCTTTCAGCAAACCTGTGAAAATGGTGAGAAGTATGTAACATATCAGTATATGTTACAGGTTCTAGGCTGGTACAGCCAACTCTGTAGCCATGTGGTAAAACAGAACTGAACTGGCTAGGGAAAACAACAACAACAACAAACAGAACAGAGAAAAAAGAATCTAGTTTCTTAATGAGGTTAGTTTTCATATTTGCAGCAGGGAGCACCCTAAACAACTAAGGGTGTGTGCAGGGACAGAGGTGGGAGGCAAAGAAGAAATCTGCATAAGCCGCTACTGCTGATAAGAAGATGAGAATTCCTCTTAGACTGCTGCCTGGTTATCCCAGGGTTCAGCTTCACTATTAAGTACCTGTTGGAGCAAGTCCTGAAGCAAAGGGTGGAACTAAAATTGTACCCAAAAATAACCACAAGCAGAGTTTGCGATCCAGTTATCACCAGATTTTCCTGTATTTTGATCAGAATTCTTCTTCAAGACCAAAAGCACTTTAAATTCAAAAAACATATTATCCATTACATGTAATTAAGAGTACCTTCAGGTCCTAAAGGGAAGATGGCACTCCTTTCACGCCTTCCCTCACTTTTGGGAGTGCTGCTTTCCTGTAACATGAGAATCACATTTTGGCCTACCAACAAAATTTGTTTATGGTTGTCTATGGCTGTTTAAAGTGAAAATTGATTCTCTAAATGTAACATGTGGTTTATCCTTAGAAAGGTCAGTAGCAAGCATAGATTGGTTACAAAGATTGATATCTAATTAAACATGTTTTCTCAGGTTTTACTAACTTCCGTGCTGGCAGATGCTCACATCTCCAGCAGGGAGGCCAAACCTCTGATGACAATTCTCTTCTTCTGGTCAAAATGTCATCTCTAGCATCTGCTACCTGACCCTAACTGCAGAAGAGGTAAATATCAATTTTATGTCATTTTGATCCTCAGCTCTAGCATTGCAAAGGAGGAGTGAGAAAACAGACCTGCTATGTGGAATGTAGGCATGGCAATTGCAATTTCACAGCAAATAGTTCTATTATTAGTGCTTCTTTAAGGAGTGACAGATTTGTCTTGGGAATTTCTTCTTCGCTGTCTTTGTTTCCTCTAAGGTCTGTATAGTCCAGCAGAATCAATCTACTAAAAGATCTGATAGACCTAAAAATGATGAAATATCATCCTCATTCATACCTCTTCCTCCTGTTTATGAAAAGAGCCAAAGGAGTAAAGGAAGTGCAGGGAGTTTTAGTCCCTCTGTCATGGGCAGATAAGGATCACAGTGCATTTACTGGAATCACCTTCATGCTAAAACAACAGAGGACAAATCTCTGCACTCACAGCATTATATTGCACCCACTCATTTGCTACAAGCAGGAAGAAATTAAACGTGCAATAACATTTTGTTCAAATATAAATGCTTTCAACTTTTATGATGTTAACTGTTTGAAAAAATATTTTTGATAACAGCACTGTTTTTGTTTCACAGATCTCTCCCCTTTCCCTGTAAGCATCAATCCCTCACAATACTGAACATAAGCTGTACATGCAAAAAAATTATATACAAGTTAACAAAGCCTAAGTTTATTAGAAACCACATCTACTTTCATTTGAAAGTGGGTTTGTTAGCCTCATCTGTAAGAGGGTAGTGACCGAAAGAAAAAGCAATAAAGTGAGTAAATTCTAAATTGCTCAAATTTAAATTTGGTGAATCCATCCTACCTGGTCTGTCTTGTTGTGCAAGTCAGCAACAGAGTGTCGCAGTTTAACCTAGCAGAGGAGGGGAGTTCCCTTTTTCTTTACTAAAACTGCTCCTGTTCTCAGCCCATGACCCTTTTTTTCATCATATTTCTCTTTCTCCCCTCCCTCCCCTCTGTACTTTTGAGGAAGGGGAAGTGAGAGAACAGCATGATGGAGTTGGGCTTGACCACCCTTGGCACAGTCAAGTATCACGCTCAGATTAGGAGCATGAAGGGCCACCAAAGTATCACCAGATTATCTAGGATACTCTCTCCATTCTTCCCCCCATTATACAATTAGGAAAGTATTTTTTGTTTTGTTCTTTCATTTATGTTTTGTACTTTGGTCTCTCAGTTCTCATTTTTTCATGGTTTGTCCCCATCTTTCAACTTCATTCACTGGAATGGCAGATTTTTCTAACTCATGCAAGATGCTTTCCTCCAGAATGGGATTTTGTTTAGAGAAAACTCTCAGAGGTAAGACCAGTTACCATGTTCCACGAGGTTACTATTACAGTTGCTTTCTACATCTTCCTCCTCTGACACCCCTGGCTGGTGTGTCCCCTGTTTACACCTTCTCACCAACAAGCTTTGGTCTTTGTTCTGATCTGGTGAGTCATTCATTTCAATACAGCACAACAATCATTTTAATCTTTTTTTAGATTTTTAAGTTTGTTTTTTTTTTAAGTTTTTTTCTCATATCTACACAGACCACTTTTCATAATTTGTCTTTTCTGCTTGTGTTCTCTCTCTACCCAAGGAGATTCCCAGCTGTCCTTGCTAGTTTGGGCAGTCATTTCTTGCACTAAAACTCTTTTTTCTCAAGGCTAGCGTCTCCACTGTACAGCAGCTGGAATGCAAGTTCCATTTCAGATCACACACCTTCTCCTGGAATGGACCTGGCTTTCTGATGAATAGCTTCTCCACTATCCCCTAAAGGCTCTCAGTGTTTTCCCCAAAGAGATCTTATCCCCATTGTTGTACTGCTTCCTTCTTGCACTGCCTTAAAGCTTGCTTTTATTTCCCAGAGATATTTTCAAGCTGAGGTAGGCACTGATATTAAGAAGTCATACTAATCTCTTTTTTTCTACACAGCATGAACTTTCAACCTCCAAATTTGTTATCTAAAACCTGCACTGAAATCTCTTTTTCCCTTGTTCCTCTCTAAAACATGTAGTGTTCTGATATGATAATTAGCAGTAAACCACGGTACACTGGGGTAAAAGATTGAATCATCTTGTAAAAGGAACGGTGCCTGCTCTGCTTTCCTATCCATGTAGTTATGGAGATTCCTTTCACTTCACTGTCTAGAAGAGTACAGCACAGATCATAAGCAGCTCTTCACTGAGGGAACACGAGAACCACAACCAGGACCTAGACTACAAGATCTAATGCCATAAAGACTTTACCTTTTTCCATATTTTGTCAGTTTTAGAATCTGGTTCCTTTTCCTCCTAGCCAATTCCTCCTAGCCAATTCCACCTACCCAAGAATTCACCTAGGCACCTGGCACAAAAAATGCTTCTTTCATGCTACCCTTTTAAAAATACTTTTATACCCCATTAAATATTATGCAAGCAAGGAACATTGTCTTTCTGTGTGATAGGCAGTATTTAGAATTAAAATCTGTTATGTCTAAAAGCACAGTGTGAGAAATTATGCAGCCACCACATATATGTGAACAAATTTTAAATCCACATATGTACATACATGGGCACATGCACACTCATGCCCTACATCTTCATCTTCATGAAAGCATTTAAAATAAGTCCTGAACATCCACATTTGGAGTATAAAAAAATGTACTGAAAACTAGTGTGCACATAAATTGTTCAGTAAGAGTGAAAGGATTAAAAGCTTCATACCATGTTTATAAAATCCAATCTTTTTGTCTCTGCTCTGCCCATCCCATATCGTAAGATAATGAATAGTTCCATAGCAACAATAGTCTACCACTAAACCATTACCTTGATTTCAATTACTGGGCAGAAAGAACACATGCAACAGAAATACCAGTTCTAAACAATGATTTGAATAGAATGATCCAGAGTACATTTTTACTCTGAAAATTAATATGTTTATAATTTTATCATTGAGAGGCAGAACATTATAGTTAATTAAATAATGTTGTCTGTAGGCCACAAATCTCGTTTAAGCAATAATAAAGTCTTTGAACCAAGGTATTGCTTTAACACTGATGCAGAGTTCCAATTGCTAATGGCTCTCACACTATCCAGCAAAATACAAGGAGGGATCCAGCTGTCAGGAACATCAAGAAGAGAGCAGCAACATGTATTAAACTGACTTAAAAGAGAATTATTTTTCTGGTGAGATTTGGCCATCTCTCATCTGTACTTTTTCCTAAAATATGCATCTATGTGTTATTCTTAGTCTCTCCTACAAGACTTGAAAAAGCATAAGCAAATTACTATTTCAGTTACAGTCATTCTGTTGCCTTGAGATCCAGGGGGTCCAGTTCTCAGTTACAGTTATATCCTTTAAATCACTTTGCAAGGTAGTGAGCTTCTACAACCATCAAGCATGTACAAATGACCCCTTCCCCCTGAGAATGACCTTTGTCTAAGGTCCTGGAGCAGGACCAGGACAAACCAACCCGAGCATCCCTCTTCCCACTGCCATGGGGAGACAACACGGGCTGTGGCAGGAGGCACATCACACGGAGCATGATGATCCAGAGCTATCACTTAGTTTCTAGGCTTCATGCAGAATGGTTTGTAAATTTACAGCATCCTTAAAGGTCACTGAGAAATAAAAAATAAATGTTAACAACAACAACAACAAGGCAGAAATCGTACCTTACAGTGACAAAAGCATCAGTGGTATTTCATTTGCAAGTTTGAGGCTTTCTCTGTGTTCCTAAAGGGATAAAAACATGGCATCTATTCACTAGAGTTTCTCATAGCTTCCTGGTTATTTCCCAGAGCAGGGTACTATACAGTATTTTGGTATAAATCTGACTGCATGTCATAAAGCTTCAGGAGAGAACTTTGCCAGGGATTAGAATTAGCAGAAATTAGAAGTGATCAAAGTGATGTGGGTTTTTTTTTTCAATATTGCACTTAACAAGGGAATTCAAACATTTGGATCTTTCCATTCAAACTGAAGAATTTCAGTTCAGCAAAAATGAAAACGCTTCTTTTATTTTGAGCTATTACCAATATTTCAAAAGAAATCTAGTTCAGTTTATACATAAATGCTTTTAAACTAATAAATATTTAAACACCTGTTTTTGAAACATGTGGTAAACTCAATAAAACTAACACAAACTCCTGAAATATTTAGGTTAACTAAGGCATGTTTATATTGAAAAAGAAACCTCAAGAGAGTAGCAAATGTGTATTTTAAGGGGCACAGGACTTAAAATCATGAGAGACTGTCTCTAAAGTGCATGACTTCCTTTCTGGCAGGATGAGGTTTATCCCATGCAATTCCCCCCTGACACAAAGCTGGGGGATTGGATAGGCAGCCAGCAAGCGAGCTGCTGTGGCAGCAGGGAGCACCACCATCTCCAAGGTACACCATGCTCCACCAAGCTCTGGCCGAATGCAAGAAGCTCCCAGGACAGAGCTGAAACCAAGATGTTCTCCTTCAGCTGCTGCAGGGAGACATGCAAGAGTGAGGTGACTCTGTCTACAAGTGTTTGCTGTGAGAAACTTAGAACTGCAAAGGAATGTGAATTCTAGGGAGGGGAGTCAGAAAGGAATAGTCTTTACATAATGACAGACATCTGTGTAATTTGCCAAAAACCCACAAGATTTTTGTCTTCTGTAACAGGGGAGGACGTTACTCCCTAAAATATGTCAACAGGTGAGATTTCTTGCCAACTTAACAACAGCAAATTACATAAGTGATTAGGAAAAAAATAATTTCCAGTAAAACTAGATATATTGCTACTGCATTTGGTGAAATCTCTGCACTGTCATTTTAGCAGCTCTTCTCAGCAATTCAGAGTATTTCCACTTGATGGCACCAAATTTTTTTTTTTCCAACTTCAAAGAATCCTTTAACAAAAGAGATGCTGAATTGCAAAGAAATAATCAGGACAAATGCATGTTTTTCTTTCTGAGCACATTTCTTAAAAATCTGGAGGTGTTTTTTTTGTTGTTGTTGTTCTTGTTTTTGTTTTTTTTTAATAAGGAATACAGTGAATTTGATGCGGTGGCTTTGTCTCTTCTATTTGACCATGACCACACAGTCATTTGAGCTACTTACTTTTCTTCTCTGCTTAGAGTGTATCTCCATTCAGTGAAGGTTGTGTTTATCATATTGTTATAAAGTAGGCTCCTGAATATGGATGAATCATGCATTTTAAAATAAATTTTGTTTCTGTCCCTATCTTTGAAACTCGTCCTTTGCTTATCTTAAAAATGAAGGGCACTCAAACAGATTATCACAAAATAAAAGGCAAGTTTTTAAGGGTTGAATATTAATTTTGACTCATATTCTAAACTGTCTGTTGTTTTTCAATAGTAATATCTGATGAGCAGTTCTCAGTAAAGTAACTACGGTAAAAACAACTTCTATAAGCTTTACTTGTATGTTATATACAGGCAGTAGAAGCACAAACAAGCAAAAATGTAGTTTAAGTAGTTGTCCAATTCTTGGAGATTTCACAAGCTTTAGACAATGTTCAGCATCGTGTACAATGTACCAGATAATAATAGATTAGGTACAGGATAATATCAGATTAGAGTAAATATCCATTTATTGTTTCTCATCTCATCTCCCAGCAATAAGCCATGTGAGGCAGAGCCAAGTCTTGTGTCTGGGTACCTGCATGGGGGGTTGTCCTCTCTCCCCTAGGTTCGTGATTAAGCCTCCTGGATACAGCAGTGACATAAACTATGCACAGAACCACCTGTTGTGGTTCTACAGCTGCAAACCAGCATTTTAGCTGTGTCTAATGAAATCTGTCTCATTTATCTCAGCAAAACAGAGAATGCAGTGCAGCATTGATACAGGGAAGGCCTCGGGGAGTCCTGGCCAGAAGAGGATAGGGAGGCAGGGACAGATCAGAGTTCGGTGCATGTCCTCATCCAAAATTAGGATATCAGTGAAGGGTTTCTAAGACAAAAGGCAATCCCAAGATTCTTCTGCCACAGACTGCATTTTGTGCTAGAATTTATGTGAGTACAGTCTGCAATGAACCTTCTATACAGAGGTGTGTGCATGCAAAACAATTAGAATGTGCTGCTGTTTTGGGCAGGTCCAAATCAGCTGCTCTGTGCAAAGCTAGGCAGACATTTCCCAGATATGTGACAGCTACTGTCACACACTACAGAGCTGCCCTGTGCCCATGGGCAGTCACTCATACATGCAGATACTCAGCATGGTTGGAGCTGTCTGCTGCCATGACTTGGCCGCCAGATGTCCTGGTGTCTCATTCAGCTTACAGCAAAGAGGACTTCTTTGGAAAAGCTTCATCCAGAAGCTCCCCTCCCCTTCTGTCACCTGCCCTCAAGTTTTAAATTGTTCCCAGTCCAGTCCTGCATCTGCCTCTAAAGTACTTCTTTGGTTCTTGAATGTTAAAGAATTATTCAGTTCAACCTTTCCATCTAGCTCCAGCTTACAAATCTATGATCTGACTTATTTCCTATTTCAGAAGTATCTTTCAGCTCTAATTTCCACAGTTTCTTCTGTGAGAAAGCAAGCCACTGGCCCAGTCCTGGTTTCCACCAGTAATGTTTTCACACAATCTTAGCTCCATATGAGACCTATGCTTGAGGATATGAACATTTCGAGTAGTTAAGGTTCTTGAGCCAGGACCTGAACTCAGCCACTCAGATTAATTGGTCTCATAGGCTGGCCTTCCTCCTTAGAAGAACTGCATGGAAGAAAGTCCAATACTGAAAACATGGAAGCACTCTTCATGGAAATACAGTTACTGTTTTAAACAAGTCTTTTATTGTTTCTGCATAACAACATCACTTATTACAGCTAACTATTGAAAAACAAACAAACAAAAGCCATTTTCATTTGATTTCACGTTCTTGCTCTATAATTTTGTCATCCACAATCCAGGAAGAAAATTCTCTCACTCCAGTGCAGTGAATTACTATATGACATTTGTGATGTCTCATTTCCCACCAAAAAAAAAAAAAGAAAGAAATTCAAGAGGCTGCAGAAAAAGCATGAGTCTCCTTTCTGTCTTGTAGAGAGGCTGGAAAATGCAAAGAACAATCATTACTAGCCAGAGCTTTATTAGAAATGAAAAATAGCATCTGGAAGCAATGCTTGTCTTTTCCTCAGCAAAGAAAACTGCCAGCACCACAGCTTCTTCCAACACCACTTTGAGTATCTAGAGTCCAACCCAAAGCATCTCCACCTGCAAAGTCCTCCAGCACAACTCCACTTCTGCCCTACACGAGCTTAGTCAGCAGCTGTGTCTTCCCTAGCATAGAAGTCTGACAGCCAAATTTGTTTTTCTTGGGGATGTTTATCTCACTTAAACCCCTAATTTTCTCTATACAATAGAGATTAGTCATGTTAACTCACAATTAAATCAGGTGTTAATCCCAAAAAGAAAACTCTTAATAACTCTTTCCCCTCCTACGTTCCAACAAACACTTTTGCCTGATAATATATCCATGATCTGTCACATTTTAGCAACTATTTACTGTGGTTCCACCTAAATTTTTTATCCCCTCATTATTATCCCTGAAAATTATTTAAAGTTAGAAATAGAGTCATGAAGCAAACATGCATGCCAATGCTAAAGAGTTCTGCAGGACAGGCATTCCACCCATGTACTGCTGTTTCTTATTTTGTGTGTGACAAGGACTTCATGTGTAATTACTGATGGTGTGAAACTTTGAAAACTACAGATTCTGCATTTAGATTTTAGATGATTCTGGCTGCTTTGCTGCTATACAAGGGTATTTTTGCCCTGATTGTGGTTGTCCCAATCACATCTGGGTGCCACACTCTAAGTTCTCTAAGATGCATAGTCTGTGCCATTCTGCATCTATACTAATTACAAGTGGCAGAAGCCAGGCTAGACCCAGCACCCTGCGTGTTTTGCCTTTCCCAGGTGAGAAAACAGCTGACCTTCTCCAAAGCTGGTGCAGAAGCCCAGCACATGACCCTGTGGAGGGTGTAGGAGCTGAGGCCCTGAGACGGGCACAAGCCAGCGTGCAGGCCTGTTTACTGCAGCTGCAGGTTGTTAGCAGGCCTTCCAGTGCATCCCTCCACAGATCTCTATCACTGTAAGCTGCCTCTCCAAGATGCTAACGTACAAGCAGAGACAAATTAACACTGACACTGGCTTTTGTGCTAATGCCAGAAATGTATTTTGCAAGAGCAGAAGCTGCTGAAGAAGCTGAAGTGGAAGTAGAGGTGGAAGGAGTTAATCTGTGCAGGATCTGAAGCAGCTAAGTGGTTGGCAATCCAGGAAGCTGCTCACTTCCGAATGGTATTGGGCAAAAGACAGAGATATCAGAGGAGTAAGGGTCTCAAGTGGCAAGTTCACTGAAGCAGAGGAAAAATCCAGATACGTTGGTTTTGCTGTTTCAGTCTTATTGTTCTGTCAAGAGAAAGACCTTTCATACAAAGAAGTGCTTTCAATGAGATAAATCAGGAACCCACAGAGGCAGCTCTGTACGTGAGTAACCCAGTTATACCTATTTCACTGGTAAATGTGACATTATGGTGACTAAGACCACAAGAGGATGAGACACAAAAGAAATACAGAAGAGAAGAGATTACAAAAATATACAGTAATATCAGTGATATACATATGAAGTAGAAAGGTATTAACAAGCAAGATCCTCCTGGATGACATGCTTGATCACATAAGGAATGAGCATGTGATCTCAGACAGCCAGCATGGCTGCACCAAGGGAAGGTCATGCTTGACCAATCTGGTGGCCTTCTATGATGGAGTGACGGCATCGGGGGACAAGGGAAAATGACCAATGTCATTTACCTGGACTCAAACAAGGCCTTTGACATGGTCCCCCACCACATCCTTATCTCCAAATTGGAGGGATGTGGATTTGATGGGTGTACCACTCAATGGATAAGAAACTGGTTGAAAGACTGCAGACAGAGGGTGGTCATCAGTGGTTCTACGTCCATGTGGAGGCCGGTAACGAGCAGCATCCCCCAGGGGTCTGTCTTGGGACCGGTGCTCTGTAACATCTTTATCAAGGACATCGATGGTAGAATCGAGTGGCCCTGGGCAACCTGGTCTAGTATTAAATGGGGAGGTTGGTGGCCCTGCCTGTGGTGGGGGGTTGGAGATTCATGATCCTTGAGGTCCCTTCCAACCCTGGCCATTCTGTGATTCTGTGAATCAAGTACTAAACACGAAATGCATCAGTATGCCAGCAGACATTCCAGCTTAGAAACAGAAGCATGCAGCAAAGATATTACAGAGTATTTTTTACAGATGTGTATTACATCAAGAAGGAAGGGAATGTGTAGCGCTATAGACATGGTGACACAGTGCAAAGCATCTTAACGAGCATCCCCCACTGACAAACAGAAACAGCTCAAGTCAGAAGGCACACAACTGAAGAACATCTCCAAAAAAAGTAATGCAACAGCAGTGAAAGTATGTTGCCTATGTTTGCCTACTATACAAGCTAAGAACTGCATTTTGGTACGGCACACACAAATACATGAACAAATCCAGAAAAAAAAAAAAAGAATTTTAAAATGGATGCTGGAACACAAATAAGCTTTTGAGAAAGAAGGTAGAGTTTGTACCATACCATGAGATTATTTTGGGAAATGTGATTAACGGGATCTACAACAGAGCAGGCACAGAAAGAAAATATGAACAGCACCTCTGTGCATGAGGACTTACCTGCAAACGTGGCACATGAAGGATGATACATTTACTGAAACTTCTACCAGGAAAAGAATGTGAAAGGACATCTCACAGCTGAGGGGAAAAAAAAAAAAAAAAAAAAAAATGTTGTGTGAAAAGAAAGGGTATCAATAATTAGTCATGGCATTTCTGAATGCCATCTATTTTCTGAGGAATGCGTAATATATGGGTGGAGTTGAGTGACATAGTCATGTGCCTTCCAGCATAGGAAGGTGTTATTTGGCTAACTTTATTTAGCTAAGTTAGTTCGAATGCTTATGACTATGCTCAGGTATCACCAGCTGATCACAACTCCTCAATGATAATTTAGTTAGTAAATTAATAAATAAAGAAGGCAAAACTAACTAAGGCACATTTCATGCAACCAGTTTTAGAAGAGATGAATCACTCTATGAATGCTTTTTCTCTCCATAAGGGGATTCTGGACATTGGTAGACAATTAGACCATGAATGCCTTCTATTAGGGCACAAAAAAACACTGCTTTCTAATTATCCTCCATATCTGTTGATCAGACTTACTGGGCATAATGTGTGTGTTTTGAAGTCTTGCTTGTACCACCTGTTTAGTTTGAATTTTCTTTTGCTGTGAGCAGTTTGACCTATGACGACATGTTAAGATAGAATCAGTGACACTAAGTACCACGAATTGGTGTCATCACAATGAGTACGGAAAAAATATATGTAACAGCCTTCTAAATACTGACCTCCAAAAGTAGTATGGCTGCAATCAAACTGCTCAGCGGGAGCGGTCTCCAGCCTTGCCCTGAAATTGGTTGGTTGGCACATGGTAGATGATGCTGGTGACAGGCTAGCAGTTAGGTAGCGTGACTGAGATTCAGTGCCAGGAAGGTTCCCAAGCTCTACCTGATCAGCAGTTTTGGAAGTAGCCAGTGCCACCACTCTAATAGCAAGGACAGGATCTGTTTTCTATTTCCTAAACTTGAGCCTATGTCTCCATTGGGATGTTATTTCTGAGCAGCTTCTGATGCTTGAGGACTTCCTGCAAGCCAAGTGCATCTGTGCAGGGTCCCAAGCTTGGATAGTGACAAGACACGGGTATCTTTGAGAGGAATTAACAAAGCCCCAGAACAAAGTATTTTGATTCAGGTTTGGATGAATACATGTGTTTTTTTTTTTCCCTGTGTGTGTGTTTGTGTCTGGGGGGTAGGGAAGAGTTAACTACTTATGCAAAATGAAATTATAGGGAAAAACAAGTTGGTAACCTTGTGTTTCCCCTAAAACTTCCCACTGAATTTCAGCTATTTGCTTTCAATTACCAGTCCCTCCCCCACAAAAAAAAAAAAAAAAAAAAAAAAAAAAATTGCTTAAATCTCTGCCCTTCACAAATGAATCACTGAGCAAAGACTTAGTTCAATTGGATTTCACAGAGATGACAGGATCTGTCAGTGACTTTAACAATGAAGGTTTTCTCCTACATCTAGTTTTGTATGCCAAGTTTCTTGGTGCTTCACCACAGCCTTAGACACAATCCGTGTAATTCCAGTGCAAAAGTCTAACTCAAGAGTGTTTCTTCAGTGTGGGGAGGGATCTGCTATGTACAATTTATAAGCAAAACAGTCACCCACCTAATCATTATGAGGAGTTAAATGAGCACATAATTCAAGGATATCTTGTAATGACCCACTTTTGTCTTTAATATGGACGAATATAAGATGATAGCATTAGTGGTCTGATTGGGATTTAAAAGAAAAAAACAACACAATTTTGAATTCCATCTGTCTTCCTTGACAACAAGTTCCTTCAGTGGTGTGAAAATGGTTCAGGACAGAAAAGCCAATACCAGAACACTTTTCCAGCTAATAGATATCAAACCCCTGCATGTTTTCATGTGACAAAGATCAGTAAAACAAAGAAAGAAAACCAACCAGGATGTGCTGCTCCCTCACAAGGATCACTAGAGCTCAGTCTTGGCTGTGTCCATCACGAAGTCTGCATACCACAGGATCTAGCCGTGTAAAGCACAGAGAACTGAGTTAGATCCTTAGGCCATTGAGTCACATTTGAAGCCTATTCCCTTTTATAGGATAATAGCCTATACAATATATAAGCAGAAAATTGGCAGCTCCTTTACACTGCTATTAGTGTTAATAGCTAATGAACTATAAAAGCGACAGGGTTTTTTTTTTTCCCCAATTGATTAATTTAAATTTAACCTTAATTTGTTTAGATCTCACTGAGAAGCCGCTACCTTATTCTGAGCTACAACTGTTGCAATTAGCAGAAGTATCCCACTGTGAATATAAGGCTGATTGCATGCTATGCATCTATTGTGAGATGACACTGCTTAGATGTCTGTTGAAGAGATCAGACAACTAACTCCAAAAATACAGGATTATTTGCAAATATTTAGTCAGCAGCATAATCTGAAATGGACTGTTTCCATTTCAAAAAACATACGCATGTTTTATAGCATGGTAACATGTTGTGGGTGGAAAATATTGCGTGCCTTATTTATTCCGTCCGCTGTTTCTGAGACTCATTTCTACAGCTATGAACAAAATGTTTATTTTTTTGTGATACATTTCTGTTCTCCTCTTTTCATCTTCAGAATTCTTACCACGTGGATTCTAACATAGCATCTCTGCAGAGCAAGTAGATTTATAAAGAAGATGTAACACTTGAGGGAAGTTTGTGTCACCGTTAAAGCAGTACAGGAATGAGGGGAGGGGTGTGTGTAAATTGTTTGTAGGTGCTGTTTTGATGCTACATGATTTTGTTGTTGGGAATTCATTTTGCTGATATAAGAGAAGTTTGTGAAGTTTAGGTGATAAATCTTTATAAAGATTATTGTAATGTGTTATTGTATGTATCTAATGCAGATTTCTATCACGAGCTTTCAAACACCCATATCTCACTCACACTGGTGCCACCTTCAGTGGATGGCAAATTTAAGACACTTATGTAGAGTTTTTAATGAAAATAAACTATTTAAAAATACTAGATTGTTTTTCATCATTAGATAAACCCTAAGAAGGGGATTTAAAAAATGTGTGTCGAAACTGTAAAGACCTTCTGTTGCTCATACTGAAGAATTACTTCTTACCAGAAAAGAGGATACTGTAAGGTATCACCAGATTTTTAAAAGCAGTAAAAGTAAAGCTCTGTGGTACTGGAGCACATCCAGATCAACTGCGGTGTGGCTTTCCTGATGGCTAGGAAAGCCACATGTCAATAGCAAGCTATTAGTTAAAAATAAAGGTACTGTCAATTATATTTTACTTTTCTAGATTACTGACAGCATAGGGTATTCATGCACCAAAACCTGTGATATCTGGCCTTTCTGACTCAAAGGAGAGAGATTTCTTCATTCATTTTAATAGGATGTAAATTCCACTCTCAGTAAAAGAGACCCTGCACAAACATACAGAACAAAAAACACAACATAAAACACCTCGAAACACCTCACCACAACTCCAGACACCATCATTGTTATCAGAACATTATAATTTCACATTGACTCTTCAATATCACAGCATGGCAGAAGCCCTGGTGTTCAAGATGAAGGGTCACCAAACTACAGTCCTTCATTGTACATGAATCACAAACGTGACACGTGCAGCTGCCATGCCAAGGAGATATAAAAAGACTCACGAGTGAGGAGCTGCTGGTAAACAGCCTGCTGATTAGTTCCATTCCCCAGAGGTGGAAAGAGGCAAGAAAACAGGTGGTGTCTGCAGTCACTGCCATCAGCTCTTCTAGGTCTCAGCTTTGCACCTGATCCAACCCCAGCAGTCTCAAGACCACTGTGAGACTGCTCCTAGCACTTCTCTCCTCTTGGCTTCCCATGGATAAGGTAGGGGTATGATGGCTCTCAAACATTTGAAGAGGTTGATAGGTATCCAAGTGTCAAGAAGGTTGTCTGCACTTGTTGCAGATGTTTCAGAGATAAAGCAAGTATTCCCTTCTGTGCAACTTCATGCAACCACATGTTATGTATGTGTGGAAAATATGGATAGTTTTATGTAGCTAAATTTGTTTATGCTAGCCTTGGTTAGATAAACTTACTCATTCTCCAAGGACATCATTTTCAAATACAATTTTCTGGAAAGGCGGGGATATAAAAAATAAATTTATCTTGAATGAAGAGAGTTTTTGTTTTGTTCTTTAAGCAAATGAAGGATGGGATTCCTGATGATTTCAAACTGTTGCAAAGTTTAAACAACTTCATAAATTCAAATTAATTTTGAGTATTCCTTTAAAAGGAGACAGCAGAAATCTCCTTGAATTTAGTTCTTCTTCACAGCAGAAACCACAACTTTTCTGATCCCTCAGCGGTGCTAACAACTAGAAATGGCAACTGCTTTGGCACTACCTGTAGCACTTATAGCTTTCTGAGCCAGTCTGCCCAGACATTTAGCTACTCTGTAAAGTCTTTTAGACACAACCATAGGCTCCTGAAACAGTCTTTGCATCTTGCACCGAGGAGTCTTAAAAGGTACCAGTTTTCAAACACGAGTTAAGCCTGATAGTGAAATGTAAAAATTGCTAGAATTCAGTTCACCCAGTATGTAAAAGTGCTTAGTCTACATAATACAAGATGGAGTGCCCAAACCCAGGGAGAAAGAAGAAAACAGGCAGGTCGTGTTATCTTAAATGAGAACACTTTACATCTCTCTTCTTTGGGCTAAGATACTGCGCAGACAGGTACACAAGATGTAGAGTAACCAGCAACTACAGCATGTACTCATGAAGCAGCAGGAATGGGATCCCACAGCTGCCTCCAAGGCTGTTTGAAAACAGCACATCCACCTCAGCTTGGTTTGCTCTGAAAGCATGACCTGGGAGAGAAGATGGAGTCATTTTTGCTTACTGTTCTGCTGGCCCCATCAATACTGTCACATCCAATGCAAGTCAACTAGAAGGCATGAAGAGTGCTTTCTCTCTGTGCACTCCATGGCCTAGAGATGAAGATTCTCTCCCAGGATGCAGATGCTGGGGCTATAACTCAATCCAGCCAAGCTGGGCACAGCTCCTCACCCTCCTGCTGTGGTGATAAACAACTTCACCACCCAGATCTTATGCAGAGAACGCTAACACTAACAGCCTTCACTGGGATTTCCTCCTGTTCTCCCAGCAGGCTCCAGAAACTGGATTTCCTAGAAGGCTGCTAGAAGAAAGCAAACTACCAGCAAGGAAAGATATATGTGACACAGGAGAAACTGAGTCTATTTTTCATGCCATTTCAGATTCCTATGTCTCTCCACTGACTGCGCAGAAGAGGTAGAAATTTATGTTCATTTGCTCTGTTAAGATATCCCAACTTCACTGTAGTCATTACCCGAGGTAGGCAAGTTGATTGGACTCACACTGCTTTGAACAAGACTGTTCTGAATGGAAGTCTGCTCAAAAAAAACACAGTGAAAGTAAATGATTTGTAACTGAATTATTCTATGTAATGTTTAGCAACTATTTGACTGGGAAAAAAAAGGGGGAGAGAGATCTTCATTCGGCACTAGGGTGAAAAATCTTTCAAAAGTACTGGGGCAGAGAAACAACTGAATTAACAGCACAGAATGAACAATTAATTCACAGAATCTAAAATAACAGCCTATGGACAGGTGCACCTGAGATTCCTGTTATTGATGTTAAAATTATTTCTATCTGGCTATAGCTTGCTTAAGCATGCAAAGATCATCTTAAGTAATCCAAATTAAAACAAATGGATCTCTTAGAGAATATCAGTACTGAAAATCTGTAATTAGGACAATTTCATGCCACAGACCTAGGACGCAAGGCAAAACTCTAAGTTTCTCTCTTGTGCTATGACTACTTGTCATTTATGTGAAAAGATGCAGTAAAAGCAGGAAAGACAGAAAATAAATAAATAAATAAATAAATAAAACAACTATGCTGACTTTATAGCACTGAACTCAGCCCAGCAGACCCTTCCTTACTCTTAAGCTGGTTGTCTCTGGTTTCATAGTGTCACAGAATCACAGAGTTGCTCATGTTGGGAAAGACCTTAAAGATCATAAAGTCCAAACACAACCTAACCATACTACCCTAATTCTAACAAAACCTCTGCTAAGCCATGTCCCTGAGCACCACATCCAAAAGCAAATTCCTCCCAAAGCAACAATTTCTTTTGTACAGATGTTTTATCAAAGTTGCCCTCTAAATTTCTACAGAGTTATAAATGCTGATTTGCTGAAATTATTTCTATAAGAAAGATTTAAATTTAGAAAGATTTAAAAATGTCTTACAAAGTAGCACCCTCTGTAATCAGTACAGAGGCAGATTTCAGTTAAATACAGTAAATGTAGCTCAGCAGTGATGTACTCCTGTGCCTATATATGTTACAGTAATTCTTTGGCCCCTCCAACTTCCACTACAAGTCAGTGTGATGAGCAACCACATTCAGCATCAGGGAACAATCTGTGACTGCTTTTTCAAGAAATATGAGTTCCGTTCTCAGGTAATTCAGCCTCTGCTGCAGTTATTGTCCTTACACAGCTTAACATTGCCACACACACCATAATAGTGCACTGTGTTTCTAAAGACTTGTGAGAAGCAGCACACTCCCTAACAAACAGAAACACTGTTTATAGGAGATGGCATCTCTGCTTCTTACTACTAGCAAATCAAAAGTTCTTACAATTAGCAAATCAAAAGGCCTATGAGTTCATTATCTGAAATCATAATAATTACAAGTTGTCCACAAAAGTAATTATGAATTTGTTTTGGTCTTTACCTAATTTTTCCAGTCAGTGCTGCTGTCTCTCTGCAAACCAGAGTCAGACGTTCCCAAAAATTGAAAAATGTCATCAAATTCATTTATCATTTTCCCAATTTCACTGTAGGCAAAAGCATTAGTGGGTATAAGCAAGCACCGGCCCCCAACTTTTAATATTAATTAAAGTAGCTTGAAGTATTTTAAGATTGTATTTCTATTTATGATGTGCAGAGTACTGTATTTTTCGACAAGCTTAAAAGAAAAAAATGATTAATCAATTACTGCATTCCTCATCAGTATTTTTGATACCTTATTTTAGGAATCAACATGTTATTTCTATAAAATCTAGCAGGTAAAAAACAAATAAGACAATCTTTTGCATTTTCTGGTGAACACAGAAATAGAAACAGTGTTTTCCAGTTACAAAGCTAAATGTGGTTTTTTTTTTCTTCTGAACACACTGTGGTTCAGATTTTGTTTAACTTCATCAGTAATTACTTTCTGTCACAAATGCTTGTTCAGAAAAAAATATATTAATCTGAAAGTATTTATCACCCAAGAGTTTTTCATTATTGCTACTTAGAAAGCTCTTGTTCAAGACTATTTCTCCCTAAGTCGAGTTAGACAAAGTTTTTACATGGACCTATAAACTTGTCGGACATTTCATGGTAATATCAAGAGCTTAGCACATTTTTTATATATATTTTGAAAAGGGTTTTTTTTGTCATCAGTTGTACTTCATTGCTCTGAGCTGAAGTACTCTAAATCAAGGTTTCTCTCACTGCTGTGTCCATCTGCAACTGAATCTTGATTGATGTTCCACTACTGAAACGAAACATTTATTCTACCCGTGTAGCTGTACATAAGCTGTTTGCACTTATATTTTCAAAGTATCAATTTTTCCATCTGAAATAAAACTTAAGATGTATTTTTTATATAAATAAATGCATAGAAACAGATTATCTAAGTTTTAATTGATCAGTAACTGAAGATTTCTTAGAAATCACATAATAATGGTGCTGAAACATCAGTCATCTGAAGGGCAGAAAGGTAGGAGATGTTTTTTACTTTCCACAGTCATGGTTATAGGATTTAATACTGTGCCTAATCAAATATGCAGGGATTCAATCAGAGCATGTGACTGAACAGTACAGCCATTAAACAACTTCTGTGAAAGCTGCAAAGAAGGACAGAAAATAGACACAGCTCACCCTTCATCACAGTATGTACTTGGTGCAGGTTGCACTGTGCCATGCGACCCTAC